CTAGTTCTTAATTCTCTCACTGAACTCCACTTGAGAAAGGTTGTGTGAGAGTTTCATTTGCTCCATGTCCTCATCAGCATTTGGTGTTGTCAGTCCCTGATTTTAGCCATTTTACTGGATGTGAGTTGAAGTGGTATCTCATCGTGGTTTTAATCTGCCTTTTTCTGATTCCTAATGATGACTTTTTTATGTGCCAAATTTGTATATCTTTTGTGAAGAATCTGTTCAATTCTTTTGCCCACTATTTGGTTGTTGATTTTTAAATTTTTTTTATTTATAGGAGTTACTGTAGATGGAAACCCTTTGTCTGAAACAAGTTATAAAACTTTTTCCACAGTCTGTGATTAATTTTTTGTTTTTGATTGTTTTCTTTTGTTTTTTGATGAGGGAAAAGTTTTAATTTTGATGAAAGTCCACTTCTTAATGGTTTTTTAATGGTTTGTATTTTTTGTGTCATGGTCCTTTTTTTGTTTCTTTTTTTGTGTGTGTTTTGATCGCTGGCCAGTATGGGGGTTCGAACCCTTGACTTTGGTGTTACCGACACCACATTCTCCCAAGTGAGCTAACTGGCCAGCCCATTTTTTCATATGAGTATTTATTTGTTCCACAAACATTTACCAAAAAGACTTTCTCCATTCAATTGACTTGACACCTTTTCTTGAAAATTAATAGATTTGGTATGTATGGGTCTATTTCTAGAATCTCTGTTCTTTCCATTGATCTATTTCTCTTTCTTTATACCAGCACCACACTGTCTTGATTACTGTAGCTTTATAATGTCTTGAAATTATTTTATCTTCATTTTCTTTAATCAACTTTATCTTTCTATAATTTACATACAATACTGTGTAGCCATTTTAAGAAAAGAGTTCAATGAATTTTGACAAATGTATGCAACCATGTAACTACCACTCTAGTCAAGACATAGAACATTTTCAACACTCCACAAAGTTCCCTCATGCCCTTTTGCAGATTGGCCCTTCCTAGTTTTAAGCACCTACTGCTCTGTCACTATGGTTTTGCCCATAAATTATATAATATATACTCTTTCATGTCTGGCTTCTTTCACTCACTATTTTTGGGATTCATCTATGTTGTTGAGCTTATCTGTTATTTATTAGTATTCCATTGTATGGATTACCACAATTTGTTCATTCATCAGTTGATAGACATTTGGATTGTTTCCAATTTAGGGGTATTATAAATAAAGCTGTTATCAGTATTTGTGTACAAGTCTTTGTATGGACATACGTATTTCTTTCTCTTGTGTAATACTTAGAAATACAATTACAGAGTTGTATGGAAAGTGTAAATTCAACTTCTGCCAAACTGTTTTTTAAAGTGGTTATGCCATTTTATACTCTTACCAGCAATGTTTGAGAATTTTAGTTGCTCCACATCTTCACCAGCTCTTGATATGGTCAGTCTCTTAAATTTTAGCCATACAGTTGTGGATGTAGTAGCATTTCATCGTGATTTCAGTTTGCATTTTCTTGGTGACTAATGAGGTTGTTTGCTTATTAGCTATTTGTATATCTTTTTTTATGAAGTGTTTTTTCAAATAAATGGGCTAATTATTTATTTTTTTATTTATTACTAAGTTGTTGAAGTTTTTCCCAAATATAAATCCTTTGTCACATTTTTTGTAGCTTGCCTTTTTATTTTCTTAATAACATTGGTTTTGGTTTTGTATTTTTTTGCATGGGCTAATTATTTATTTTTTTATTTATTACTAAGTTGTTGAAGTTTTTCCCAAATATAAAACCTTTGTCACATTTTTTGTAGCTTGCCTTTTTATTTTCTTAATAACATTGGTTTTGGTTTTGTATTTTTTTGGTGGCTGCCTGGTATGGGGATCTAAACCCTTGACCTTGGTGTTATCACCACCGCATTCTAACCAAATGAGTATAAAGTCTAGTTTATCAATTTTTTGTTGTTGTTTGTTATTTTTTGTTGTTATTGAGTGCATTTTGTGTTCAATTCAAAATATGCTAACCTACTCTCATGTCACTGTGATTTTCTTTTATGTTTTCTTGTAGAAATTTTATAGTTTTAGCTTATATGTTTTATATCTTTAAGTTAATTTTGTGCATAGTGTGAAGTAAAGGTTGAGGTTTTTTTAATATATGGTTATCTAGTTGTCCTAGCACCATTTGTTGCAAAGCCTAACCTTTCCTCCCGGCAGTTTTGTCAAAACTCAGCTGACCGTGTGTGGTTATATTTCTGAGTTCTGTTCTGTGCCATTGATCCATATCAATGTCTGTCCATGCACTGATACGTCACTGGTTTGATTACCATAGCTGATGGCAAATATTGAAATAATTTTATTTTAAATTTTGAAGGATGTGTTTCCTATGTATAGAATTCCAGAGGTTGGCAGTTTTGTTTATGTTTTAGCACTTTAAAGATTTTTAAATGCCTTTTGGCCTCTGTTATTTTTTGTTGAGAAATAAATAATCAATGTAATTGTTGCCCATTTGAAAGTAATCTTTCTGCTGGCTACTATTAGGATTTTTTCTTTGCTTTTTTGTAGTTTTACTCTGATGTGTATTTTGAGATCTATCTATCCATCTAGATAGATAGATAGATAGATATTGATGTATATAGATAGAGAGAGATATATACAGTTGTTGGCTGGCTGGCTGGTGTGGGCCTCCAAACTCTTGACCTTGGTGTTGTAACACCACGCGCTAATCAGCTGAGCTAACCGCCCAGCCCCCTAGACATGATATAATATATATATATATATATATATATATACTTTTTGTCCTTTTTGAGACCGGCCACACCGCACTCAGCCAGTGAGCGTTGTGAGCGCACCGGTCATCCCTATACAGGATCCGAACCCGTGGCGGGAGCGCTGCCGGGTTCCCAGCGCCGCACCCTCCTGAGTGTGCCACGGGCTCAGCCCATGATATAAATATTTTTAATCTTGTTTGTCTTCTTAGGGATTCTTGAATCTGTGGCTTCTAGATTCTCAGCCTTTACTCTTCAGAGGTTGCTTCTGCCCTGTTTTCTTTCTTATCTTTCTAGGCCTCCAGTTAACACACTTTCATATTTCCCATATTTTTGTCTCCCTGCTTCACACTGTATATATTATTTTCATATTTACTAATTTTTCTCCAACTGTGGCTAACCTCTTCCAATGAGTTTTAGATTTTTGTTGTTTTAATATTATCTTAGAATGTATCTTTGGTTCTTAAATTTCTGATTAATAAGGGTTTTGTGTTTGTTTTGTTTCACGTGAATTGTCAAGATTTCATATTTGGCTTATATCTTCTTGAAGATAGTAACTTTGGATGTCTTATAGTTTGTGTGTAAAGGGTCTGATGATGTCTAGTATTTATGTCAATTCATACTTTTGAGTCTCCCATCTCCTCGTGTCTGGTTATCTTTGTGTTTTTCACATTATATTTGAAATTTTCTTTAAAGCGGGAATTTAAGGTTTAGAATTACCATAGTTCATTTTTCAACTATAAGGGTTTTTTTTTTTTTTTTTTTTTTTTTTTTTTTTTTTTTTTTTTTTTTTTTTACCTTTCTCAGAGGTCTTGTAGTACAAGCATCCCATCATCTTACCCACGTTCAGGGCTCATGATTTTCTGATCTACATGATAGTTATAGGGCTGGTTTACTTCTGGCTTTTTTGGTTCACACATAGTCTAAGGTCTTCCAGCCTAGATAGGGAATTGACTTCCAAGGGTCTCTAACCTTGAAAGACCCTGCAATTTAACTTTTGTTTTCCCCGTCCCAGAAGAGACCACCAAAGAAGCACCAGCTGCTTTTCAGCTGCTTCTTCAGGATCAGCATGTCTTCAGGACAAAATGTGACCACAAGTGCTTGGTGCATCTCAGAATACCCATCATTCTGGTTCTTTGCTTGGCAATCCCTTTCTTTTGTGTGTGTGTGTGATTGTTCTCTTTTTGTTTTTTCTTTTCATTTTTAAAATTTCCTTCCTAGCTTTTAAGCTCCTTGTTGCTTTTTATCTTTCATTTAAAAATTTTTTAATAACATATAATTTTAAACATGTAAACATAGAAACTCAGCCCCCATATGTCTGTCACCTGGCTATTTTGATTCTTTTAAAGTAGGTTTTTTTTTGGTTTGTTATAATCCAGATTTTTCAGTTGCCTTCAGAGGGAAGCTTTTTCAATTGCTTTTCCATCCAGAGAGCAAATAGTCACTTCATATTTTCTAGCTTCTAAAAACAAATTATTCAAAAAAATTAAAAAATAAAAACAAACAAAACAAAAGAATTAACCATTCTTATGTTTACCTTTCTGTTACTGCTGTAATTACTTTTGACTTCAGGTGTCAGTTTTATCTCACCTATCCATAGCTTTTTTTAATCACTTTTTTTTTTTTTTTTGACAGCTGGCCAGTACAGGGATCTGAACACTTGACCTTGGTGTTATAAGCACTGCACTGTAATCAAGCGAGCTACATAGCTTTTAATAAAAGGAAAATATAGAAACATACTCAAATCCATATTCTTTCAAAACAAGGAAACAGTTATTGACTTCTAGGCACTATGAATTCATAGGACTGCTCTATGCCATACTCTAAACCAGACATCTGCATACTTTTCCTGCAAGTGACCAGAGCGTAAAATAGACCCTTTGCTTTCCATTGCAACAACTCATCTCTGTCACTATAGTAGTCAACACATAAATGAGTGGACATGGCTCTGTTCCAATAAACGTTTTATGAACAATAAAATTTGAGTTTTATATAATTTTCATGTGTCACAAAATAGTATTTTGATTTTATAACCATAAAAACCTGTAAAATTATGGGCCACAAAAAAACACGCACCAGGCCAAATTTGGCCCACAGACTGTTGCTTGCCAATCCCTATTGTAAACACATAGAGATGGTGCATAAAGTATATTATAAAATGTTTGATAATTTTCTCTATTACAGGAAAAGGTTTTGTAGATTTAAAGTGAAGAAACCCATAGTAGTAAGTAGGGACTAAAACTGCAGACATTCCAGTATCTAGAATGAAGAAACATGTAGAAGTAACTGGCAGTTCACCTCCTATGAAGCGTATGTATTCCTCATATTCAGAGCCATGTTCACTGCATGAAACCAGTGACAGGTAAGGTTTGTGTGCCTATATGCTGAACAAAACTACCATTGTTTGGAGCTGTGGTCAGGATTAACCACAGTCTTTTTGGCATTTGGTTCAGAGACACTTTTGTACAAGTAGTCTTTTGGCTCAGAAAGCATATCTATGATATTAACATGAATAAGACCCTGAATTGCCAAGTAAAAGACCTGATTCTGAAGTGAGGCTTTAGTCGGCAATGCAAGGCTTTAGGAAAACTGACACAACTAGGTGGTTTGAGAAGAGGGAATAAAATTCATACACAATAAATTCTCACTGAAGATTTGCTTACACATTTACATTTTAGAGCACAGAAGGAAAACTAATCTCATAAAAGGCATTAAATTCCACAAATGGGGGAATATGCTTTCAACAAAATATGGTGTGAAAAATACTTTAAAATATATATGTTTAAGCTTCTCAAAGAATTAAAGGTAAAAATTTGTGAAATAAGATGAATGCAAATCAAGAATAGGTTGGAATTTTTTAAAAATAGAAATTCTGGAAACGAAGTGTTTTTTGGGGACACCTTCTGTAAGTGGGCAGAATGCTTAATTTATATGCATCTTAGAATTAGTCATTTGAAAGATAGTACTAAGGACTGACCTGAGAAATTATGATATCTGAGATGTGGAATGTATGAAAGTTAAGAGACATGGAGCATAGGCTCTACTTTCTCTCCTTTCACTGAATTGTTTGTTTTCCTAGCGACAATAACCCTTTCCGTGTGGAAAGCCCATTCCTTGACACTACTTGCTCTACTCTCCTGCATCATCAATCTTTTCCTCTCTTTATCATTCCCATCTAATTATTCCTATCTTAAAAATATTCCTTCTCTTGACTACGCTTCCAACTGCCCCCTTCACCTATCACTTCATTTCTCTCTTTTCCTTTACAGAAAATTCACTGCAAGAGTTGTGTAAAATTCTGCCTCCAATTCACACCTTTTGTTCTCTCTTGAACCTACTCTAACTGGCTTTTCAGTGTAGTTGGTTAGAATGTGGTCCTGATAACACCAAGGTCCAGGGTGCAATCCCTGTACCAACCAGCCACTAAAACAAACCAAAAAAAAGAATTTACTCTAAACAGCCTTTCTCCCCACCATTCCATCAAAACAAGTTTTTCTTGTAAAATTTAATTTAAAATTTAAAATTTTTACTAAAATTGCTAAAATGTAGTAAAATGTAAAATTTACTATTATGTTACTCAATTCAGTGGTTAGTGCTCAGTCCTTTTGTTTTACCTATTGGGAACATTTGAAAAGGTTGATTGGTTGAGCTCTCTCTATTACTTGAAACACTTTAACTTCTAGGCACTACACTCATTTGGTTTTCTTTTGATCTCTCTGGCTGTTTCGTTTTCGGTCTCTTCTGCTAGTTCTTCCTCATCCCCATGACCTCTAAATGTTGCAGTGTCCCTGAGCTCAGTCATTAGGCCTCTCCTCTTCTGTTTTGTTTCTATACTCATCCCTAAGTGTTCTCATCCAGTCTCATGTATTTACTCTTGACTCTCAAATTTGTATGTCTAGCCTAGACTTCTGTCCTGAACTCCAAACTTGAATGTTCAACCATCTTCTTATTATCACCTCTAGGATGTCTAATAGAAATCTCACACTTAACATTTCCAAACCTGAGCTTCTGCCCTCCAGCACTCACCCCGACACAAACAAATCTGCTCTCTTTTAGTCATCCCTATCTTAGAAAATGGAAACTCCATTTGTACTTTTTTTTGATGGCTGGCTGGTATGGAAATCTGAACCCGTTACCTTAGTGTTATAAGGCTGCACTCTCTCCATTTGTATTTCTTGGCCCCAAACCTTGAAGTGATCTTCCATTTCTGTTTTATTTATATACTCATATCTAGTTGAGTTGAATCTGTTTTCAAAATGTATCCAAAATCTGAGCATTTATTACTATCCCTGTTGCAACCACATACAGGACATTTTTGCTAGATAGAGAATTCTAAAGGTTGTGGATTATTTAACACTTTGATATCCTTCCAACTGTGTTCTGACTGCTTTATTTCTGCTGAGAAGTCAGCTGTCAGCTTACTTTTTTTTATAGGTCAGTACCTTATACTTTATAATAACTCACATTTATCATGTTTTGTATTTATGAGTATAAAAGGTGAAGAATTGCAAAGACCCTGCTCAGGACCTACATAATCTGATTGTATTCAGTATTGTTACAATACTTTTGTGTCTGTTCTCCATTTTGTCAATTGATAAGAAAATTAATTTGTCCATGGGCCGGCCCGGTGGCACACTGCTACAGTGCGCCGCTTGGGAAGCGCGGCAGCGCTCCCACCGAGGGTTCGGATCCCACATACAGACCGGCCGCTCACTGGCTGAGCGAGGTGCGGGAGCAACACCGAGGGTTGCGATCCCGTTGCCGGTCCCGGTCCGGTACGGGCATGACACTGAGGGTTGCGATCTGTTGCCGGTCACGAAAAAAGACAAAAAGGGAAAAAAAAAAAA